GGAGTGGTGTCCAGGAAATTTGCATTTAAATTTTTTTTAATGTTTATTTATTTCTGAGAGAGAGAGAGGCAGCGTGAGCAGGGGAGGGTCAGAGAGAGAGGGAGACACAGAATCTGAAACAGGCTCCAGGCTCTGAGCTAGCTGTCAGCACAGAGCCCGACACGGGGCTCGAACCCATGAACTGTGAGATCATGACCTGAGCCAAAGTCAGACGCTCAACCCACTGAGACACCCAGGCGCCCCGGAAATCTGCATTTTTAAATAAGCACCGCCAAGGGATTCTGATGTATGTGGTTCCTTAGCCCACCCTTAGGGTACACTGGTCCCCATGGCAGTGAGGTGCAGATGGAGAAAAGCAGACAGGAGGGGTATCGACACTCTTCCCCCGCCCACTGGAGCCTCCTCATCTCTCCTCATGGGACCTGCTGACTAAGTTTCCTCTGGGCTAACCTTCACCCCCTGCCCCATGTGGCCCTCGGCCACCATCCAAACTATCTGCATGGGCACTGGTTTTTCAGTCTCTTTCTGGGGCAGAGGCCTGGGAGACAGGTGAGGCAGGAATGTAAAAGTGCCAGATCCCAACAGACACATGAAACGATGCTCAGCATCCCTCCTAATCAGGGAAATACAAATCAAAACCACACTGAGATACCACCTCACACCAGTCAGAGTGGCTAAAATGAGCAAATCAGAGAACTCTAGATGCTGGCGAGGATGTGGAGAAACGGGCACCCTCCTACACTGTTGGTGGGAATGTAAACTGGTACAGCCCCTCTGGAAAACAGTGTGGAGGTTCCTCAGGAAACTAACAATAGAACTCCCTTATGACCCAGCAATAGCACTGCTAGGAATTTACCCAAGGGATACAGAAATGCTGAGGCATAGGAGCACATGTACCCCAATGTTCATAGCAGCACTCTCCACAATAGCTAAAACATGGAAAGAGCCTAAGTGTCCATCAACAGATGAATGGATCAAGAAGATGTGGTTTATCTATACCATGGAATACTACATGGCAATGAGAAACAATGAAATCTGGCCATGTGTAGCAACATGGATGGACCTTGAGGGTGTTATGCTGAGCGAAATAAGTCAGGCAGAGAAGGACAAATATCATATGTTTGCACGTATAGGAGGATTAGGAGGAACTTGACGGAGGAACAAGGGGGAGAAGAAGGGCGGAAATGGTGGGGGAAAGGGAGAGAGGCAAACCATGAGAGACTCTTGAATGCTGACAAAAACTGAGGACTGATGGGTGTGGGGGGGAGGGGGGGATGGGCATGGAGGAGGGCACTTTGGGGATGAGCACTGAGTGTTATGTAGAAACTAATTTGACAATAAACTATTTGTAAAAAAAAAAAAAATAAAAATAAAAAATAAAAGTGCCAGATCAGATCCTGTCTTAATGCAAAACTTGGATTTTTGTTTATCATGGATTTTTGACGGTGCCTCTTATTTTAAAATATTGCACTGAGATATTTATCTAAACCTTGCCTCAGAGGTGAGTAGCTCACTTACCCCATCCTAGGCCTGGCCGTGTGGAGATGCACTTAGAAGTCCAGACCCTCCCTCTTCCTTTCCTTTCCCAGAGCCAAGGAGAGCAGAGGACAGGGCGGCTATTTACCTCAGCCTCTACCCTGGAGACCCTGAGTGAGATTGGACCAGAGAGCCCACCCTCAACTAGGCAACTGCCCACTCTCCTGGTGGGGAGGAGGTTATTTATCTTAATTCTCATTTTAACCACTCCCCTCCAGCTGTGGCTATAGAAACCCTGCAGATTTTAACCTTTTTAACCTGTCTGGCTTTTTCCACAGTGGAGGGCATTTGCACATGCTGTACCTAGTGTGGTAAAAATATCGTATACCGTCTCTCCCAGTGCACTCAGACTTGAAAACCCATTACTCATTCATTCAACAAACACCCGTGCACCTAGGGAGACCCACCCTAGCCTCTCCTGTAGGAAGCCCCCCAGCCTCAGACACTCAGTGCTCCTCCTCTGAGCTCCCAAGCGACTAGTACGGATCCCCCTCACTACCTTTCTCGGCTAGAACTATTCCCATCCTGGTCTGTCTCCACCACCAGTCCCGCCTGCTCTCCGTGCCCCTAGGACAGATTGCAAAAACGGTAGGTAACAAACGTGGGCAGAAAATGGAGGGCTCCTCGCCTCTCCTTGGGTCGGCCTCGGCTCTATCTGCCACCCCCCTCCCTCCCCCGGACTTACACCATGGCTGCAAGGGGCAGCAGACGGGGGACGTGCACGGTGGGGGCCGAGGCTTCGCTTCCCCGCCCCTCCAGGACCGGTGCCTGGAGTAGAGAAAGTTTTACAACCAGGGTCTGGGCTCTCGAGAGCTTCCAGACTCCCCTCCCCGGAGACACCCTGCTGTAGGAAGGCTGCTTCTGGGGCTGCCTCTGTTTCGCACCCATGATCTCAACCGCCCGCGACACAGCTGCCGCTCCCTCCAGGGCCGAGAGGAGCTGGAGGAATCGGATGCTTCAGCTACCGAGAAGGACTTTCTGTAATTCCAGGGCCCCGGCGGGCCGGTGGGACCCCGACCACGCCCGGCGGGTGTCACAGGCCTTTAGGATATTACAGGGGCTCTCGATGTCATCGGTAGGGCCTGAGGGCGAAGAAGGACGCTAATCCACGGCCCCCCGGAGTCCCGCAGCTACAACAGAAGTCCCAGGCGAAAACTGCCCGCGGCGCGCAAGGCTCTAAGCCCCGCCGTCTGCTTAGCCACAGCGGCTCCGCGCAATCGCCTGCCCCCGCAGCCCCTTAGGTCAGGACCTCCGGGACCAGATCTGCATCCTCGGCGTTTGCAAAGCTCGAAAGCGCAGGCACTGACCGTCTCTCCTCTCCAAAGGCGCGGCTACGGAACCGGGCCCTCCCCTCCGCAGGGGTCCCCGGCTCTCACCCCTCTCCATTTGCTGCAGCCCTCCGGGCTATGTGACTCGTCGTCCGGAGTGGGGCGACCAGGTCGCCGCGCTCCACCTCGCTGCGCTCGCCCACCCGCAGGCTGGCACTGCGGTGCCGCGGGCGTGCGCGCCCGTGGCCGGGACGTCCCGCGCCGCACCAGCGCCCACATCCTCCCCGCGAGGCCCAGAGCGGAGCCCTCTGGACGATCCCGGCTGCACTCACTGCGGTCTTAGGATCGCCGTTGGGGATTCCCGCGCGCACCTAGGACCCGCAATTTATGGCAGCTGATGTCCTTTGAGAGCAACCGACTCGGGACAACTCCAGTTCCTCCTTGCAGCCAGTTTTCTGACCTGGCTCTGGCTTGGAGATTAGGTTTAAGGTAGTCAGAGCCCCCAGCTGATCCTTCTACCCTTCCCCAGGGCAGAAGGTCCCCAGATCCTTCCCAAAACGCGGGCCACCAGCCTCCCGGAAGGAGTCGAAGGAGTGGGTGAGCCTAGCTCCATCCCCCGAGCCTCTCCAGCCTGGGCAGAAGTCGGGAACTGGGGGCCCAGCGGCAGGCTCTTGCCAACTGCAGATCGAGCTCTTTCTTCAGACGAATTCCAAAAAGTCCACTAAACCAATGCAGCGCCTGCCACCTCAGCTCCTACTCCAGGAAGCCGGGTTCCCAGGTCCTCTCCACATCCCTATTTCCAAGTGACACAGCCCAATACCTGGAGGCCCCCTCCTCCTAAGTTCCAGGAAGCCTGTCCCTCATCTTACCCCCAACATACTCTAGGCTGTCCAACTAACTCCCAGTCCCTGGTAACCCAGCCCCAGCTCTTGGAAGTCCAGCCCCCAACCCCACCCCAGTCCCACCCCAGTCCTGAACAGGGGAGGGCAAACAATGCCTGGGCTTGAATTCATTCTTTTGAAAAACAACTGGAGCCAAATCCCACAGGAGCAGCCCCAGGTACTGCAGGCTTCATGGAATTCCTCCCAGGGCACCCACCTCAAATCTAAGGAGCCCGCCCAAAGCCTGTACCCCTCTGACTCTCTGTGCCTCATTCTCTCTCTTTCTCACCTTTTCCTGGCACGTCCAGAACTGGGTCCTCCAAGCTGGAAAATCCACTGGAGGGCAGATCTCAAATCCCTGTCTTTTACTAGTGCAGAGACACAAACACCCCCCCAAAAAACACACAGGGAATGATCCTCACATGCTTAGAGATCCTCAGCACCACAAACAAACAAACAAACCAATTCCAGGACACAACAAAGACGCTGATACACACATATAGACCCCAAACACTCAGAAATACACACCAACATAGTAGACACACATCACACACTCAGCAACAGAGACATACTTACACACCAAGAAATATCAGAAAGACGCCTAGAAAAGAAACATATAGATGTGTGCAGGATCCCGAGCTCACACAGGACATCCAGGAGCAGGCAGGCCTTGGCTCTCCTGCACTCAGACTAACTTACGATATTCACACACCAACTCCTATGGCCCTAAATGTGGAAAGAGGCTCCTGAAGGAAGAGCAGATTCTCCAGGGAAACTCTAGTTTCTCCCACTCCCTAATCGACCCCAAGGCCTTTCCCTGGAAAGGAAAGCTGGCCAGGCTAGGAAATGGTAAGGTTCTGTCGTGTGGAAATCACTTAATGAAATCCATGGGAATGGCACCCCTATTCCCACCTCTTAGGAAACAGGGAAGTAGTTTTAACTCGGTCTGCAAATTAACTCCAGACCCTGGGGAGCGCCCTCCCCTTGGTGGGAAGAGGCCAAGTCCCTCCGCGTGGCTCCAAGGCCCAAGGAGCCGAGTGAGCAAGACGGGCGCAGCCCACCCCAGGCCGCAGGCTCTGGGGCCAACGCACAAAGCTGCCCAGCTGCCCGGCTCTGGACAGAACCCCAGCCTTTGCTGCCCCTCTAGCGGACTAGTGAGAGGGCCCGCTGGCTGGCCACTGAGCCCGGCGACACACAGGAGGCAAGCTCCATGGGGAAATGGGTTTCTGCGCCGGAAGGGGGTTGGGGGGTGGGACTGGGGCGCCTGCACCGGCTCGCCCAGTTCTGCGCTGGGCAGATGCACGCTGTTCCTTACCTTTCTTGATCACGGACTGGTCGAGAAGGCTCATTCCCGGCTCATCCATGACCTGCAAATAGGGGAGGCAGTGGTAAGGGTGCTTGTGGACCTAGTCTTCTGTCACCTCCTAAGCTCCTGCAGTCCCCGGTCCTGGTCTTGTCTGCTCTGCCCTCCGCTGCCCACCCACGCCCGGGGTGGCAACCCACCCGCGGGACCAGGACCGCCCTGCGGCCGGAGCCCTGGACCCCTCGCCCTGCCGCGTGAAGAGGGAGTGCTGAACCTCGGACAGGCAACTCTTCCGCGTCTCTTCGCTCCAGGCCCAGGCTGTCAGTGGGGGCGCGGATGCCCCACGCGGCCCAGCGCAGAGCTAGGGGAGCGGCCGGACCCCTGCCCGTTTACCACGCCCGGGGGCTGCCGCTGGGTCGGTGCGAGGCCGCCTTGATGGCCAGGCAGCCTCTGACCCAGACGTGGGGTCGCAGGCCGGGAGAAAAGCGGGGCGCCCGCCTTCGTCTCCGCGCCGCCAGCCAGGGCCCTGAATCGCCGCGCCCGGCCCTGGCCCCTCCCGGTTCGGGCCTCACCTGCAAGTCCTCCAGGCCGGGCGGCGCCGCCAGCCCCGGGAGGCCGAGCGGCGCGTCGGCCAGGCCGTGCGCGCCGTCGGCCAGGCCGTGCAGGAGCCGCGGCACGGCGGCGGCGGCGGCGGCGGCGGCGGCGGCGTAGTCGCGGCGCGGGTCGAGGCCCAAGGCGCGGGTGGGCGGCGCCAGCAGGCCGGGCGGCTCGTCGTGGGCGCGGGCGGCGGCGCGAGGCGCGGCCCAGGCCGCCTGCGGAGGCTGTGGCTGTGCCAGGGGCGCCAGGCCGCCGTACGGGTCCCCGGCCAGGTGAGGAAAGGCGGCCGCGGCGTCGGGCGCCTGGCCGTAGGGCAGAGGCGGCTGCGGGTAGGGCGGCGGGAAGTAGGGCGGCTGGAAGTCGGCGGCGGCGGCGGCGGCGGGCGTGTGGCAGAGCGGCGGCGCCGGCCCGTAGGCCGCCTGGGGCAGGGACGACAGGCGGGCCCCGCCGGTCGCGGCGCCCAGCCCGTCGGGGCGCTCCTGGGGAAGGAGAGGGGCACGTTAGGCGTCCCGCTGGCAGCTGAACGGCCCTCGGCCCGAGAGGACCCTCGTCAGCTCGCGGGCCTCCGGCTGCCGTCCTGCGCGCGTCCGGGGGCCTGAGGTCTGTCCGTCCGGGAGCGGCCCGCGGGCGCCGGAGCCTCGGGCTGGGACGGCGGCCTCCCGCGCGCCCGCCGCGCCCGCCGCTGGGGGAGTCCTTGTGGCCCCCTCCCGCCGAGATTTCGCTGGAGGTGGAGGTCCGGCGGGTCCCGCCCTCGGGGTCCCGGATCGCGGGCCCCGAGACTACTCACCATGGCAGAGTACGTGTGCACCAGCATGCGGCGGGCGGCGCGGGGCACGAGGCGTGGCGGCGGCGGCGCCCTCGCCCGACGGCGAGCGCTGCGGGAAGAGGCGCGGGGAGCCTACACAGCCCGCGGGGGTGCTTTGGGGGCGGCGGGGTGCCACCCGGCCGAGAGCCGGGCGGGCGTCGGGTCCTCAGCTGTGGGCGCCCCCGGGCGGATCCATGGAGGCGGGACGTGGGCCGGACGGGCGCTGATCGGACTTGGAAAAGTCGGTCAACGGGTGCCCAGCGCCCGCCCTTCTTGCTCTGAGCGCAGCCCGCTCCATGCACTCCAGTTATAGTGGCGGGGGCGCGCTGGGCCTCCGGGGCGCGCATTAAAGAGACACGCTGTGGCCGCTTTCTCCCTTCTCCCCAGCGACCGTTCAAGGGGAGGCGTGGCTTTGGGGCGACCCCATGGGGTGGGTAGCGGGGGCGTGAATCCAGCCCCCGCTTGGTCTGAGCCGCCTTCTGGCCTCAAACCCCAGCTGTGGTGAAACAGAGAAGGGTTGGAAGGTAGGATGCAGGGGTCCTGGGTTTGAATCTCAGCTCCATCGCCTTTATTTGCCTGTGAGCACAGAGCTGCTCTTCCTGGGCCTCAGCTTCCTAGTCTGTAAAATGGATATCCGTCCTTTTGCTAACCACCTCACCGGACTGTGGATGGGGCCATCGTCAATGTGGAAGAAGTTTGTGAGCTGAAGACTCAAGCTCCCTGGCTCATGTGCACCCGCGTGTCAGCGTGTATGCATGTACGTGCGTGTGGAGGGAACCATCACAATCTTTCTGAATGTTTCTTGATCAAAGACCCTCTAAGAGTGCCCTCTTCACTCAGCCTTGTGGTGGCTGATAACTCCCAATGCCAAGCCAGGGTCTGAGGAACCCGGACACACAAACTAAGAGTTGTCCAGCGGGAGGTTGGGATGGGTTCCATCTGAGAAGGGCTCCAAATATTTCTGAAGTCACGAGAGCCTGGGCTGATTGAATATGTGTGTAACTGACTTACATAATGGTGTGCAGCCATCACACTTATGTGGGCAGGCTGTGTGTGTGTTATCATGGCAGGCACTGGCTGGCTCTCAAGTCCATTTCAGCCTCTGTAGTCACTCCACCTTTCTCCCCAAACCCAGCCCTCTCGTCCTGAGAAGCAGGGGCCAGGATGAAAGAAAGGGAATAAGAGGAATAAGAATTTAAAAAGCAAAAGATGATTAAAAAAAAAAAAGCAAGAAGATGCTCAGGCCAAGGCATATAGAAAATAATCACAGCAAGCACTTATGACAGAGTGTGCTGTTACTTTGCTAAGTACCTGATGAATACTGAGTTCTATCAGTCTCACATTCTCTGGTGAGGAAGACGAGGCACAGACAGGTGAACTAGACTTGCCCAAGGTTAAGCAGTCAGGTGAGTGGCAGAGCCAGGGTGGCCTGCCTCCAGCCTCTATATATAGTGCTTGGAATTACTATCCTGTACTGCCTCCCACTCAGGCACCTAAGAATTTAGTTCTGACTCCCACCTACCTGTGCTCTTGAGCAAGTCCCTCTTCCTTTCTGACCTCAGTTCCCATAACTTCAATAGCAGCGGCCACCAAGTAGGGGAGCGCAGAGAAGACTAGATGTTTTCTGAGACCCTTTTCCAGTGAACCAGATAATGAGAAAGGAAAGGTGAAAACATGGAGGTAGATTACAGAAGACAGGGAGATGGACCCATGGAATGTGTGTGGAGGAGACTTGAGGGGACTATCCCAGAGGCACGTGGCAGGTGTAGAGTTCAGGTCTGGGTCATCTCAGCCTGGGGGGCTGTGGGAGAGGGAAGAGGCTGGAAGCAGCATCTCTAAGAACTTTCTGGAAACTGGATCCACCAGCTAGGGTGGTGGATGAAACAAGCTGGCCGGCGCTGCCACCTCTGTGCCCAGGACAGACCAGAGGGCTGGAGTATGTTTGTGTGTGTCTGTATATATGGATGTGTGAGTCTGTGATGAGACCCCTTCTCCCCTACCCTCAAATTCAGTCAAAGGACATCAGAAGCGAGGCTCCAGGACAGGTGTATGTGGGTTAGTGCACGGCATGCAAGTTGGTGGAAGCCTATAGGGGAGGTCCAGGAGTGGCAAGGCTGGCAATGCCTGTGCCCAGCTCTGGGGATCCCTCACTCTCTCCAGCAGGCTTGGGAAGGCCAGAATGAGAGGATGGGCTGTCTGTTCAGTGGGCTTCCTCAGGTTTTCTGCCCTTACTTCACTGCAGCTTAAGACACTCCCTCCTTGCCTCATTCTCTTTCTTTCTGCTCTGACCACTCCTCAGCCTCCATTTCTATCTCATTGTTCACCCATGTCCTTCATGGCAGTTATTCATTCTCAGTGTTGAGGTTTCCACATTTTCTTCCTGTCTACACTCTTCAGGAGTGAGTGAGTTCATTCCTTCTTAAGACTTTATTTTATTTTTGATTTTTTTATGTGTTATTTATTTCTGAGAAGGAGAGAGAGAGAGAGCGCGCGAGCACATGAACAGGGGAGGGTCAGAGAGAGAGGGAGATACAGAATCTGAAACAGGCTCCAGGCTCTGAGCTAGCTGTCAGCACAGAGCCCAACGCGGAGCTCAAACCCACGAACCAAACCGTGAGATCATGACCTGAGCCGAAGTCGGATGCTTAACCAACTGAGCCACCCAGGCGCCCCTCCTTCTCAAGACTTTAGTGACTGCTAGTAGGCCATTCTCTTTCAACTTTGTTGTCTCTAGTCTGTATCTCTCACTAGATATTCAGACCCATAGATGCAATTGTCAGGTGGATATTTCTTCAACACACCTTGTTGCAGCCATCTGAAACTTTCCACGTTCTCAAGTGAACTTGACATCCCCTCCACCCCCGCCACCCACTGCAACAGGCTTCTTCTCCTGTGTTCTACAGCTCTGTACATGACACTACCATCCTTCAAATTAAAAGTCATCCCAGACTCTGACCTTCCCTTCACCCCCATAAGCCAATCCTCATAGAGTGTTGTCTTTCTAACTCTTAAATATCTCTCTCCACCCCTCTGTCAGCCCTTTAAGCTCCCATACTCTTTCTCATGGACCAGTAGAGTTCTCAAAGCATGCTTCCTGGGCCAGCATCACCTACAACGTCTGCAAACTTGTTACAAGTGCTACTTCTTGGACCTCACCCCAGACCTACTGAGGCAATAAACCTGAGTGTGGGGACTGGAGATCTGTGTTTGAATAAACTCCTGAGGTGACTCAGAAGCTCAGTAATGTTTGAGAACCACTGCCTAGACCATTACAACAACTCCCTAACTGGTCTCCTGCCTTCTTCATTCATGACTCTTCTGATGCACCTCCAATTCCATTTAGCAATAAGAGTGACTGGACCACAGGGGCATCTGGGTGGCTCAGTCAGTTAAGCATCTGATTCTGGCTCAGGTCGTGATCTCATGGTTTGTGAGTTCGAGACCACAAGAACCTGCTTCAGATCCTCTGTCCCCTCTCTTTCTGCCCCTCCCCCACTCATTCTTTCTCTCTGTCTCTCTCTCTCTTAAAAAAAAAAAAAAGTGACTGGACCATGTAAGCTTCCTGCTGAAAACTTTCCTGGGGCTCCTCATGGCCCGTCTTCAGGGAAAAAAAATTTAAACACCCTAACTAGCATTCCAGACTCTTCACAGCTGCAACTGATTTTTCTTTTCTGCTTCATGAACTGCTTCACAAGAAGATGAAAGGAGAGACAGAGACTATATCCTGTACTGGCTTTGGTGCATGGCAGGTGCTCAGTGAATGCTTATTAAATAAATGATGAGTGGATGAGTTTATGAATTCCTTAGCTGATTGAGGGATCTTCTTAGGAAGCCTCCATGTGACCATGACCCTTGGTAGCTAGACATAGAAACTAGGTGTAATCTGAGGACATCATCTGATAAATGATTTTGCTTATGGCTACTGGGGAGACGGATGTTCATGATCTGCTACTGCTTTGGGGGATTCTGAAAACTACCAATTTTATGACTGCAGACTCTGTCACTCTTCAGGGCTAAGGGACTCCTCACTTGCTGAGTCATGGAGGAGGGCATTGCTGTTTGCCGACTCACTCTCTGGGACAGATGCACCTATGTGGAGGCCTATGTGGATATGCACAGGGGTACACATGCAGGCTTTCCTGGGCACATGGGGCACACAACATAAACTGAGACACACTTGGGAAACATACCTACACATGGAATACAGGACATATATTGACACATAGGTGCTCATGTTCAGATATCATAAGCTACCATTTGGCATGCTTGGCATAATGCTCTTCTCCCAGGCTCAAATAATTCCCTCTCTTTCCAGAAAGAGAGCTTGCATTTGGATTTAATGTTAAGAAAAAACTCAGGCCTGGCTTCTTTATTGATCAACACAGCCATCCTCCTCCCAGCCTTTTGCCATCTCCCCTGCCCTGGGTCTGGCTGGTTGTTGGCAGAGTGGGGAAAATCTGGCACAAGGAGATGCTGAGGCGCCACCTGGTGGTTATATTTCACAACTGAAGCTTACGTCCCCCTTTCTCCCTCGAAGCTGAATTGCCAAGAGCGAGCTTGGTCTTGTTAAGTTAGCCTAGCACCTTCCTCATTCAGGAGCCCAGAACTCTCTGACCATCCCTCACAAAAGTACAGAGCTCAGTCAGCCTGGGTTTTAAGTCCTTCTGCAGGGTTTGACTCCACCTCAGGAGGGCCAGTACTTTGAGAGCAGGGACACTGGGTGGTTGCTGCTTGCTCTAGGCTTTTCCTTCTCAGCCACTCCTATGACTTTAAGACTCTACACCCACAACTCCCAAATCTGTCACTTTGCCCAGACCTCTCTGAGCTCCAGACTGCAGAAAGCAACTTCCCCCTGGATATTCCACAAGCAGCACAAACTCACCATTTACCAAAATGAGCTTGTATTTTGCATTAACCTGTTTCCCAGTGTTCCCGGTGCCAGCGAATGGCCCCATTATCCACTCAGTGGCCCAGATCAGGTATCCGGGAGGGCTCTTTATCCCTCCTCA